GAGAAGAAGAAGTGGGAACCGGGCTCTGCCACCAACTACATCACCCGAAATAAAGCCCAGAAGAAGCAGCAGTCGAGCCTGGCCGACTTCAGGCGGCTGTTCAGCCTCAACGGCCTTTATCCCCATAAGCCCGAACACAAGAAGAAGGGTTAACAAGGGTTCCACAGCTGCCCGCACTTTCTACCTTCTCAAAGATATCAAGTTTCTCCTTCATGAACCCATTGTCAACACGTTCTTGAGGTTTTTGTCCGGAAACTCCGGAAGGTGTATGGGAAGAGTGAGTGGAACACCTTGGAACGTCTGAAGGACAATAGGCCCAACTACAAACTTGACCACATCGTTAAGGAGTGGTACCCCACCTTCATCGGCGCCCTACGGGACCTAGACGACACCCTGTCCATGTGCTTCCTTTTCTCCACCTTCCCAGGTCCGCCAAGTACCACATTCACACCATCCAGCTGTGCCGCCAGCTCTCCATGGCCCGGGCCCTGTGCAAGGTCTTCCTGTCCATCAAAGGCATTTACTACCAGGTGGAGGTGCTGGGGCAGCCCATGGTGTGGATCACCCCCTACGCCTTCTCCCACGACCACCCAACAGACGTGGACTACAGGGTCATGGCCACCTTCACCGAGTTCTACACCACCCTGCTGGGCTTCGTCAACTTCCGCCTTTACCAGTCACTGAACCTCCACTACCCCCCCAAGGTAGGGCCCCTGCCCAGCCCCTTCTCCCCATGGTGCAGGGGCCATAGCCTTTCTTTCTCCACATGGTGGCTGTCCTCTTTCCTCTGACCATGCCTTTGTCTACCAGCTCGAGGGTCAGACCCAAGGAGAGGCAGAGGCCAGCGAGGGGACCTATGCGCTGGACACTGAGAGCTCTATGGAGGTGAGAGAGGCGTCTCTTCAGAAAGGTGGCCCTTGATCCCTGTGCCTCTAAGATTCTGACTTAAAGTGGGGGTGTGGGGAGTGGCTCTGGGTGGTCTCAGGGATTGTCCTCAGAACCTAAACGCACTGATAGCCCAAAATTGTGGCCACTGCCCCTCCCCACCCTGGAAGCACACCCAGAGTCCTACCTGCAGCCCTGAGCCCTCCTTCTTTCCCACAGAAACTGGCAGCCCTCAGTGCCAGTCTGGCCCGTGCAGTGGTGCCTGCCACAGAGGAGGAGGCCGAGGTAGATGAGTTTCCCGCTGATGAGGTGAGCACTGCACCACCTTCCAGAAGCAGGGAGGGGGCGTGGAGACAGGCATCTGAAAGATCTTGAACCTAGAAGTAAGCTGGGGAGGGAGTCGCCACCAAACCCTGCCCTCCAGTGGGACAAGGCAGCCCTGGTGGTGCGAGGCCTGACTCCTCCCATGGCAGGAGATGGCGGCACAGGAGGAGGACCGCAGGAAGGAGCTGGAGGCACAGGAAAAGCACAAGAAGCTGTTTGAGGGCCTGAAGTTCTTCCTGAACCGCGAGGTGCCGCGTGAGGCCCTGGCCTTCATCATCAGGTGGGCAGGCTCGAGGCAACCTGGCAGCCCTGGCCGTCTGGTTCAAGTCCTGCCCTGGATGCCCATTGGTATCATCGGGGCGGCATTGGCTTTCATCTCTTAGAAGACAGCCTGTGGGGAGTTCTCTCATGGCTTCAGGCAACAGGGCACACCTGCCAGAGGCCAGAGCCGCCATCACTTTATTACCAGTTAAGGGCAGTAAGATGGGCAGAGGCGGGTCTCCTGGGCCAGAGCTGGGTGTCGGCACAGATGGGAGGATCCTGGGGCGAGGAGGGGGCAAGTGTGTGCTTAGAGTGTGAGTGCTAGGCCATCAGGTCCTCAGACAGGCAGCTCATGCCTGTGGGCTGTCCCTGTGCCTATAGGAGTTTTGGTGGGGCTGTGTCTTGGGACAAGTCACTGTGCATTGGGGCCACCTATGATGTCACAGACTCCTGCATCACCCACCAGATCGTGGACCGGCCTGGGCAGATGACCTCCGTCATTGGCAGGTAGGGCCCAAGGCCCTCGTTTGGACTCGCAAGTGGGAGGTCTGTCTCAAAGGCCTCTGCAATGCAGTGGGGCCTGGGATTGCTCCGTGACCTGTCTTTGCCTGCGCTCTGCCCCAGGTGCTACGTGCAGCCCCAGTGGGTGTTTGACTCCGTGAATGCCCGCCTTCTCCTGCCCGTGGCAGAGTACTTCCCTGGGGTACAGCTGCCCCCGCACCTTTCACCCTTCGTGTCCGAGAAGGAAGGAGATTATGTCCCACCCGAGAAGCTGAAGCTTCTGGCTCTGCAGCGAGGAGAGGACCCAGGTGAGTGGGAAGGGGCCAGGTGGCAGGTGGACAGGCACCTCTGGGCTGGCCTTAGCTCCTAGACCTGAGCTGGCTGTGTCTCTTGACCACAAAAGTGGCAAGCTCCAGGGAACAGGGAAGCAGGAGCAAAAAGCCTTTGAGCTCACCTTTGGAGTAAGGCGTAGGAGAAGGGAACATTTGCGTCTACCAGTCAAGTGCTGTTTGACATTCAGGGTGCCTGGGCAGGATGTGTTCTGGAGTTGTCACAGTTTACGTGAGAGGGCCAGAGCTCAGGAGTGGGGGCCTTGGAGTTTCCTCCGAAGCTAGCTGGGGCTATGAGGAGGTGCCAAAGGGGGCCACAGTTGGGAAGCCCCAAAGTATCTTTGGAAGTTCCCATGGCTGAAGATGGCAGAGTCTGAGAGAGTGGTGCCTAGGGCCTGTTCTGACCCTGCAGGGGAAGTGCAGGCCCCCAGAGCGTTCAGAAGTTATTGGCTGTCCATAGGAAATTTTTTTTTTTTTTGGAGAGATTTTCGCTATAGAGTGCATGTGCTCGCCAGACAGAGCGAGACATAGACACAGAAAGCGAGAAATCACCCCCCAGCGGGGATGGTCACGCCGCAATCCATTCTCCTCCATTCTCCTCTCAGGATCTTGGGCATGCACGCACACGCACCCAGCATGAGTTTTAAGCCACCAGGTCTGGGACGCGAACCGCGGTCGACTACGTGGGAGTCCAGTGACATAGCCACTACGCTAACTGCTGGTTCCCGTCCATAGGAAATTTGAATGAATCAGAAGAGGAGGAAGAAGACAATGAAGATGCTGGTGATGAAGGAGAAAACGAGGAGGATGAGGAAGATGAAGCTGGTTCAGAAAAGGAAGAAGAGGCCCGACTGACAGCCCTGGAAGAGCAGAGGGTGGAGGGGAAGGTACAGATGGGGGAGCAGCCCCTCTGGCCCAGAGGGCAGGAGCCAGGGGACTGGTAAGGTGGGGGATGGGGGGCAGGCCTGCACCCAGGAGCATCTGCCTTGTGTCCCCAGAAGCCCAGAGTGATGGCGGGCACCGTGAAGCTGGAGAACAAGCAGCGGCTGGCCCAGGAGGAGGAGAGTGAGGCCAAGCGCCTGGCCATCATGATGATGAAGAAGAGGGAGAAGTACCTATATAACAAGATCATGTTTGGCAAGAGGCGCAAAGTCCGTGAGGTAGGTCTCTGTCACCCACCTGAGACTCTGGGTGTGGCCACTGGCCATGGCTGCGTGGGTCAGCCTAGAAGCTGGCCAGCTCTACTCTGGGTAAACTCTGGGCTTCCCTAGCCCTTCCCCGAGGTCACCTGCCCAGCCTCTGAGGCCTCCACCCTAGCCTGCATAGCATCTTGGAAACCACCAGCTGTTGTTTTATTTTGCTAGAGGGTATGTGCACTTGCCAGAGAGAAAAAGAGAAAGGCGAAAGCACCCTGCCACTGAGGGGAGTGGTCATGCTGTTAGCCCTACTCTTCCTCTGTCCATCCCATCAGTTTGGGCACACGTATACACGTGCCTGGTGTGTTCCTCAAGCCTCTGGGTGAGGGACTCCACGTGCATGGTTGGCCATGTGGGGTCTGGCTCCCCTAACGTCCATGCCATGGGGCCAATCCCGTATGAAGCATGAATTTTTTCATTTAACCACTCCTTGGGCTCCTCTTCGTGATATTGTACAGCCTGTGGCCTGGTCGCTAGGCCAGGGTTAGGTTTTCCAGCATTCTCAGAGAATATCTCTGAGCTGTGCATGTCTACCTCTGAATGCTTCTGCAGGCTAAGTATTTTGGAGAATAATTGCTACAGTTTTGTATTAGATGCTGCCACAGGCCCTGGGGAGACTCTTCTTTTTGCGCCCCTTGCCATCAGCTTGTGGTAAAAGTTTGAATGGTGTCCAGCTTCCCAGAGGACAGGAGAGAGGGAATGAAGTGGTTGCTGCGGCTCCTCTTAGTTTTGGGAACATGGGGTTCTTGTTAATGTGAGATCCTTGGGGCAATAAAGTAATAACCATAAAGTAGGTGTAGAGTTGTGTTTTGTGACATCAAGCAGGTCGGATGTGTATATATGTACACACATATATATATTTTTGGAGAGGTTATTGCTATAGGGCACATGCACTCGCCAAAGCGAAACAGAGACAGAAAGCGAGAAATAACCCACCCCAGGGGGAATGACCATACCACAATCCCTTCTCTTCCATTCTCCTCTCGGGATTTTGGGCACGCACATACATGAACCCAGCATGAGTTTAAGCCACCAGGTCCAGGACTCAAACTATGGTCAACTACATGGGAGTCCAACGACATAGCCATTACGCCAACTGCTGGTCCCAAGATGTATATGTTATTTCCCATGGTAATTTGCCTCTTAACTCTTCTGGAAGCTCTGTTCTTCCCTTCCTCCACCTCCACAAGCACCACAGTCTGATCTCTCCCTTCCTCCTCACAGGCCAACAAACTAGCAGAGAAGCGGAAAGCCCACGATGAGGCTGTGAGGGCTGAGAAGAAGGCCAGGAAGGCAAGGCCGGTGTGAGTCCCGGTGACCCCTTGCTGGGCCGAGGCCGGCTTTTGACAGCTGGACGTGACAAAGGCAGGCCTGAGGATCTAAGCTTGGTGACCTCACCGCTCCTTCCCCCAGTTTGCCCTGACCCCTCATTTGCCCTGGCTGGGCCTCCCTTGGGTGGAGTTTCCTGCTGGTGGCCAAGCAGAAGAGGCATCTGTGCCCAGCCTGACTCTGGGCTCCCAGGAGTCAGTGACATGTGGAGAGCAGAGGCCCGTCCAGCCCCTCACCTGCTGCCCTCATTTGCCATGACTTTCCACAGCCCTCCCACACACAGATGGGCCCAGGATTCTCGGGGTGCTGTGTTGGGGTGAGGGTCGGGGAGCATTTGTTATTAAATCGCTGGACTTTTGCAGCCAATTGAATTTTGTGTCCTTGCGCCTTCCTGGGTTGGAGAACCACCTGGCTCTGTTGCAGACTTGCTAGCCCTAGGTGCTTACAAGATGGGCCCAGACGCTGCTCAGAACTCTCTAGATGTCTAAAGAGCTTCCAGTCTGACCTTGGTCACATTCTGGCACTTTCCCTGTGTAGCTGTTGCTTCATGCAAAATTAATGTGTCAAAATTCTTCAAAAGGATCTTGAGGGTTCGGTGGTAACTTTTTGTCCAGTCTCAATAGTGTGAGGTGTTTATTAGTGCTCAGTAAATACCAATGGATTTTCATGACCACCTGCTAGAGACAGCAGGGAAGATAAAGCCAGTCCGTGAGGTCCCCGAGGTGAGGGTCCCCTCATGGGCACCTGGGAAAGATCCCTGAGTAACCCCCAGCTTGGGCCTTGCTGCCTGGTGTGTAACCCTGGGAGACCTGCCCTACAGCCTCCCGCCTACCCTGTAGTTCGCTGGCTCGGGGGCCAGGGAGATGTGCCCTAACTGGGACTGTCAGTGCTTCCTAACAGCCAGGGCTAGCACCCGAGCTCCCCATGCCCACTCCCGAGTCCCACCCAGGATAGCCTCCCCAAGGTGCCAGGCTGAGTGCTATCGAGAGCAGAGGCCAGGCTGGCTCTAGAGTGCTAAGAAAAGGGTGTGGCTGAACCAGTTGTTTAACTTCTATCAGGGGTTCTGAAGCCCTCAGCATGCAGTGGAAGGCGTAGCCCCCTATTCTAGTGGGCTCAGGGCGGGGACACAGCATGGAAGCTGGGGGAGCTGCCCGGACCCTGGAGCGGGGCTCAGGCAAGGGCTTACCTCCCCGTCTGCTGTGCTAGCTCTGTAGGCAGCAGGTGTGTTCCTGAGGCAGTCACTGTAGGTCCAGCCTGTGCAGGGGAAGGCGAGAGGTTGGGCAGGCTCTGGCCTGGGGAGCAGAGAACCCCCACCAGCTGGGCCTTGCTGCGGTGTAGACGTGGGGGTTGTGCTGGGTGCTGGGTCCCATGCTCACCCTGGCATACATGTGTTAGTTGGAGGTTGGGTTGTCTGCAGCAAGGACAGAGAGTCAGGACCTCTGGAGCTAGAGCCTGTAGCCCTCTGGCATGACTCGGCCCGCTTGGATGCATGTGCCTCTCTGGCTACAGGTTGGAGAACAGGCCCATCAGATATGGAAAGGTCCCAGGCAGCCATGCTGATGTGGAATTTTCCCCATTCCAGAGTCGCCCAGTCATGGCGGGGGCAGTGGGGCCCTGACGTGGTCTGTGCCCCACTGGTGGCCGGCTGGCTCTGTGCTGCCCACAGCTGGAGCTGGGAATTCCTGCTCCAGCCAGGCGGGCACTAGTCGCCATCCTTGGG